GCCGGATAAATAAAGTGGGCCCACTTAAGTATAATAAGTAGAGGGAGAAAAACAGTTAAGATTAAAGAGAGTGGAGGGTGGGGCATGCAGATCATCAGGCCTATTACGGTAGGGCAGGTAAGGGGGGAATCCCTTATATAGGTCCCACACGCCCCTCCCACAACTCCAGGCCAAGTCTTTACATTTGTGTTCGGGGCAACCATCGCTAAGAGTAATGTATACTCTGTTTTGACGTAACCTGTATAGAGAAAAAAAGTCGGTTAATCTGTGCTGGTATGTGGTAGGCCGGATAAATGAAGTGGGCAAAAACAGAAGTATCATGCCAAAGAATATTTATTGATACACAGAAACATAATGCAAGAAATATACCTCAAGATGACATTTTCTCAAAAGCCCTCTATATTTCTTGAACAGGTTGAGGTATATATACAGAGAACGCGGAGGACTTCCATCGACCTAATGATTTAATAACATGGACGGGTATGTCCTGGCTGGAGGCCGTGGATGCAGCCCCTATTCTGAATGAGTGTGCTGAGTATCTACTAGAATTCATGAATTTTTACGTGGTCAGGACGTCCCCGTGGAGGGACAGAATGGGTGTGTCTGATTGTGTTGGTAGTGTGCAGAGATAGGCACCTAGGACCTTCACCGGGCACCATTTATTTTGCATAGGGTAATAAGCGATCTGCACTGACTGACGCAGTTGGCTTGTTTTAGTAATTGGTAATGATAGGACATAGTGATCTTGGTGTTTAACCAGATAGGAGCGTTTAAGGCATTCTTGGGAGTTATGTCTATTCTGGATGGTGAATTCTCGGGGTCTAAGGAACCCATAATAAGCCAGGTAAATTGCCGTTTTAATAACTGCATGAGTGATAAGTTCGAAAGGGGCTTCGTCTAGCAAATCTGGCATATCTTTAAATAACTGTTTATGAATGGGTAATCTTTGATGTGGGGTAGGACTGCTGGTTTTGTACAGGTAATACTCGAAAAATTAGAATATTGTGCAAAAGTTCATTTATTTCAGTAATGCAGCGTAAAAGGGGAAACTAATATATGAGATAGATGCATTACCTGCAAAATAAGATAGTTCAAGCCGTAATTTGTCATAAGTGCGATGATTATGGCTTAAAGCTCATGAAAACCCCAAATCCACAACCTCAGTAAATTAGAATATTGTGAAAAGGTGCAATATTCTAGGCTCACAGTGTCCCACTCTAATCAGCTAAGTAAGCCACAACACCTGCAAAGGGTTTCTGAGCCTTTAAATGGTCTCTCAGTCTGGTTCAGTAGGAATCACAATCATGGGGAAGACTGCTGACCTGACAATTGTGCAGAAAACCATAATTGACACCCTCCATAAGGAGGGAAAACCTCAAAAGGTAATTTCGAAGGAAGTTGGATGTTCCCAAAGTGCTGTATCAAAGCACATTAATAGAAAGTTATGTGGAAGGGAAAAGTGTGGAAGAAAAAGGCTGGAGTCAGGGCATCAAGAGCCACCACACACAGACGGATCCTGGGCTTCAGATGTCGTATTCCAAAATCCTCTTTTCTGATGAGAGTAACTTTTGCATCTCATTTGGAAACCAAGGACCCAGAGTCTGGAGGAAGAATGGAGAGGCACACACTGCAAGATGCTTGACGTCCAGTGTGAAGTTTCCACAGTCTGTGTTGATTTGGGGAGCCATGTCATCTGCTGGTGTTGGTCCACTGTGCTTCATTTAGTCCAGGGTCAATGCAGCCATCTACCAGGAGATTTTGGAGCACTTCATGCTTCCTTCCGCAGACAAGCTTTATGGGGATGCTGACTTCATTTTCCAGCAGGACTTGGCACCTGCCCACACTGCCAAAAGCACCAAAACCTGGTTCAATGACCGTGGGATTACTGTGCTTGATTGGCCAGCAAACTCGCCTAGAGAATCTATGGGGCATTGCAAAGAGAAAGATGAGAGACAGGAGACCGGAAAATGCAGAAGAGCTAAAGGCCGCTATTGAAGCATCCTGGTCTTCCATAACACCTCAGCAGTGCCACAGGCTGATAGCTTCCATGCCACGCCGCATTGAGGCAGTAATTGCTGCAAAAGGGGCCCAAACCAAGTACTGAGTCCATATGCATGCTTATACTTTTCAGAGGCCCGATATTGTTCTATGTACACTCCTTGTTTTATTGATTGCATGTAATATTCTAATTTACTGAGATTGTGGATTTGGGGTTTTCATGAGCTGTAAGCCATAATCATCTCACTTATGACAAATCACGGCTTGAACCATCTTACTTTGCATGTAATGCGTCTATCTTATATATTAGTTTCCCCTTTTATGTTGCATTATTGAAATAAATTAACTTTTGCACGATATTCTAATTTTTCGAGTATCACCTGTATATGCCTTTTAGTATAGTCTTAACTGGATACGAGGAAAGAAAAGTGGGCTTGTCTGGGAATAATAAATACATGTGATGTTGAATGCCGGTTAAAGGACCACTATAGTGCCAGGAAAACATACTCGTTTTCCTGGCACTAAAGTGCCCTGAGGGTGCCCCCACCCTCAGGGTCCCCCTCCCGCCCGGCTCTGGAAGGGGGAAAGGTGTTTAAACTTACCTTTTTCCAGCACTGGGCGGGGAGCTCTCTGCCTCCTCTCCTCCTCCGATCCTCCTCCTGGGCTGAATGCACACGCGCGGCAAGCGCTGCGCGCGCATTCAGCCGGTCGCATAGGAAAGCATTTACAATGCTTTCCTATGGACGCTGGCGTGCTCTCACTGTGAAAATCACAGTGAGAAGCACGCAAGCGCCTCTAGTGGCTGTCAATTAGACAGCCACTAGAGGCTTTGGGGGAAGGCTTAACCCATTAATAAACATAGCAGTTTCTCTGAAACTGCTATGTTTATTAAAAAATGGGTTAACCCTAGAAGGACCTCGCACCCAAACCACTTCATTAAGCTGAAGTGGTCTGGGTGCCTAGAGTGGTCCTTTAAGTATAGCTTGATGGTATTGTGGGATAGCTTTAACCTGATGTGGCAAAAAGTAGCGAACGCTACCAAAGATGTAATGTCAAATATCTTATCCAGTGTATGTTCTAACAGGAATTTTTTGTATACTGAAAAAGCCCTACTGTAGGATCGGCGCGTATTTGTCGAAAGGGTAAACCTAGTTAAGACTAGACTATGATCCATTATCTCCTTCAATCCATGAATTTCTCCTGCAACAGAGGGGAGGCTGTGGCTACCCGTGAGGCAGTCGGTAGAGTTCTTCTGAACGCCTGAAATTTAAAGCGGGACAATTGATCATCTGCCGTATTAAAAATACCAGGAACATGACAACTAACCAGATAAAAATTATTACAGGAAGCTAACCAAGTCAGTCTCCTAATGAACCTCATAATAGTCAGGGAGGATGAGCGCCCTTTGTTTATGATATGGCATGTAGCTAGGTTGTCAGAAAAACATCGTACTGAACAACCATGATTGGCCCCATGCTACAGCTGCCGCAACGTTGGGATATACCTCGAATAAGGCCGAGTTGCGGGAGAACCCTTCAATATCCTTCACCTCTGCTGGCCAACTACGCCAGAGCCACCTGTCACCAAATATGGCAGCAAAACCTGTGGTTGCTGCTGCATTTGTCCAGATGACGGGGGAATGTATCGACAACTGTGGGAGAAACATGCTCCTTCCATTCCAGTGTAAAAGGATTTTTTTCCACATCAGTAGATCAGCAGTAGCCTGAGGATCGTTGGCAAATGCAGGAAGTAGGCTAAGGAGTTTAGCGATAAAGTCTCTCCCTTGAGGGATAATCCTTATGGCAAAATTAAGGGAACCTAATAGAGATTGTAACTCCTTGCGGTTGCAGATACCCACTTGTATGTATTGATTGATGATCTGTAGGATTTTATCAATCTTCCCTAACAGAAGACTGGCTTCCATGGCCACAGAATCAAGGTGTATACCCAGAAAACTAATCAAAGTGTCTGGACCTTCAGTCTTTTGGGAGAGACTGGAACATCTAGAGAATGAAATAACTGAATGGCTTTGGTCAAATCATTTGGGGGAGAGAACTTGCTCTTGATAAACAGAAAATCGCCCAGATAACGAGTAACCAAAGCCAACACAAAGTCTCAGCGAACGTGTCGAAAATTTTTGGGCTGCTCTTTGAACCGAAGGTGAGTCTTGTAATGAAAAAGTACAGACCTTTCCATTTAATACCATGCAGATGCCATAGTGATGGTTGAATTGGTAGTAATTTTAAGGCATTAACAATATCTGTTTTACTGAGCCAGGCTCTCACCCCTGCTGTAATAATGGTGTTAATCACATTATCTAATGTGGCATTTTGTAGTGAAAACTCCTCCGATGGAATTAAGGAGTTAAGGCTAGGGATTCCTGAAGAGTGAGGTGCAGAGAGATCAATGATCAATCTCTGTTTGGCTGTGGACTTCCCAGTAACCAAACTTATTGGGTTAGTCCTCCAGTTGGAGAACGGAGGCTTCTTAAATGGACCTAATAAAAAACCTTCCCCCAGTTCCTGTTGCAACATGGTATCAACTGTATCAGTATCTGTCAAAGCTGACTGGGGGTTATTGCATTCCACAATGCCTGCTGGAATGTGAATAAGACAGGTATGGAAACCCTATGTGAAACCCTTAATCAAGAAATCGACCAAGTGTGTGGAAGGGTGACAAAGCTAATGAGCCCGCCAGAGAGTCAACATTCACGGAGGTCAGATGGGGTTTATAATGCATTTTAATTGGGCACATGGATTTTGCATGTGCCCTAAAGCAGTGAGTGAATACATGCAACAAGCAGCAGGCACTATAACCGCAGGTACCCTCATTGAAATTATTACACACATGTGATTTCCCCAAATACACTATGGCGTGACTCAGTTTATCCTTAACTGATTTGTCTGGTCCTGGCTCCTGGGAAAGCCGTAGAAGGAGAGGTATCAGGTACTATCGGACAGCAATCCGTGGCATGTGACGTGAATGCACAGATTGCACAAGTTGGTGTCCTCAGAACAGCTAAGTGCCTGCAAAACAGCTCAGTGTCCATCTGGCTCCAATCAGTTTTGATGTTAAACTGAGCCAGAATGGCAGATGCCTTCGCTGAAAAAGACCGGTGGTAATCATAAAATAAAGTACCACAGTATTTGTTACCTAAGTCTACCAGCTTATGCAAGTAGAGGTCCAGCTCTTCTCTCCTATGAGGGTGTACAGAGCATATGACATCCCTATAAATCCCAAAGGCAATAACAAAATCTGGGATAGACAACTTCTTACTCAGTCTAGGATCCCTAGTCTTCAACACAACAGAGATATCCCCATATGCATATGTGCGATTCTCCACAATATCATTAGAGGCAATCAGTAGTGAGACGAGATTGACTTCTTTTCCTTCCAGGATATCTTTTTTAAGATTCACAGGTACCATATGGGCGGTGTTGACGACATGGGTTCCTGATGGATATGTTTTTACCAGCTTGCAACTGTGGAGGACCATGAAGTTCGGCAGCTAAGGACCCAGATGATGCTAGAGGAAGGCTACGCACCTCAATTCTACCCAGCCAGTCATTAATCTTTCCGATGGATGCTATGAGTGAGGCCATCATGGTGTGGAGATCCAAGTTGCCTGAACCACTCGTTCCTTCTCCTGTGCCTGCATTGTCAGTAGTTCCGCTTTCCTGGCCATAGCTGGGAAAGGGATATTGTGTCTGCGCAACTCTGCTGTGATGCGGGGGATGGTCCATGACCTGATAGATGCCGGGCTACTGTTATCGCCTTTACGAGTAGGTGAAATGGACCTGACGGGAGTACTGGGGAGAGATAAGTCGTCTGCTTCTTCAGGGATCTGAGACATACTGGAAGAAATAACAATATATATATATCAGAAAACTGGTTGTTTTCCTGGTTGGCTAACTTGTTCCAAGTGGCGAAACAATTCTCTAGGTTGGTGACAGGTGAGGCCCTGCTAGTTGCCAAGTAGCTTGAGAGGCTCTATCTATGCGTTGGCGCGTGTTGGCCTCTTAGTGTTTGTTTGAAGCAGAAGACAGTACAGGGGTGACAGGGGAGGCCCTCTCTATGTAACCGTGCGAGGCGGCTGGCTACGATTTGGCCCGAGGGGCGAATTTTTTTTACCTCAAGCGCGGAGGATGGGTGTTGGCCTCGCGGGGCCACTGTACTATGAGGCGAAGAAGACAGAAATGCTACTACTAGTGGCCCTCCTGACCCTATCTAGCCAGTTAACCTAAAATCGAGGAGGGGGAACGTTGTGGGGAAACTAGGCAAAACTTACCTGAATATAGATACGTACAGTAGGTGGATCGCACTTTAAAATCTCTGCAAGAAAGGGCAGAAACATGAAATACTGCTGCAGGTCCAAGCTGAAACAAAAGGAAAAGTTTTCCTTTTCCTTTTCCTTTTGTTTCAGCTTGGACCTGCAGCAGTATTTCATGTCTCTGCCCTTTCTTGCAGAGATTTTAAAGTGCGATCCACCTACTGTACGTATCTATATTTGTGTTCTATTTGAGTGGTATAAGGGGTTTCCCACTCAGGTGTTTAGACCGCACTCATATTGTCTTTTACTGTATATATTTCATTCTTTTTACATTTTACTGTAAAACTTACCTGAAACCCACTTGCGTGTGTGTTTAAGTCAGAAATATGGTCGTAACTTGACACAGACTCTGTAACTCCCACTAAGGAAGGGGGGGAGGAGAGGCCTATACCAAACATGAGAATAAGTATTAGAATGTATACAAGCCAAGGTACTCCTATATACTTAATTCCCTTAAAATCCCCACCTACTTACTGGAACAGGACTTTTGAGGTCTGAAGGGCAAAATGCTCTATTAATTGCATCCTCAAATCTGTAAAAATATGATTAACCAAATAAAGCAAAATAAAGCAAATATTCCAATGTCGAATGTGCAGAAAATGCATATGTGACATCAGGAACAGTATATCTTACCATAGCCATTTAGGGAACCCGCTAGTGCCGAGATATAATATTAGTAGAACTAAACCGATTCAGTAAATTGATTCTAACCCCCACCCCCACCCCCACCAATAAAGTAAAACCTGTATTCTAATACCCCTGCAGAACAGTGCAAAATGACATGCTAGCATAGTAATCACAACTGAAGCCATTTAACCCAAAGCCACCAGATGGCAACAATCGTAACTGTAACTGAAACTGTCAGTGTAGAGGTTATGAAAAAAGCCTAGGATGTGAACAGAGGGACAGCTGCAAGTAAATTTGGCTCTGAAGAGTTGCCAGTTTGTTCAGGCAGTATATTTTATAGGTAAAGAACAGTTACCCTGGCTCTATCTCTAGTAACAAGTGTACAGGGTGATCCAGGGTGCAGCGTTTAAACCTTCCTTAGATGGTGAAAGCATAAGTTAGTACAAAGGCAGAAACCGCATTTGTGGCATGCACTTCATGGACTAACAAGCGCCCAAATTCCTTCTCTTCTACTGTACGTATCATCTTAAAAATGTATATACTCCCCCAACTTGCGACTTGTTCGCCTAACCGCAGTGCCGAGCGTGGTGATTCCTGCAGTGAGCGACACACAGCTGGGCATGGGGAACCAGGTAGGTATATTGTGTGTACCTGACCCTGGACATAAATAACAGGATGGGGGAAGGGTACTGCAGAATGACTTACGGTTTGAAGCCGGTGCCCGGGAACATTATTAACCCCTTCTGCACTACGGGGGGGGGGGACCTTGACAAAGAGAAGCAATGGTGCCAACTATAGTTTTCCTTTAACGGAACACTATATTGTGAGGAATACAAATGTGTATTCCTAACACCATAAGTCTAAATAGCTGTTTAGTCCCCCCTTACCCCCGGTTAAAAAGGTGATTTTACTCACTTTTAATCCAGCACTGCGTGTGTCCATCAACCCCTGTGGTTGAGATCATCAAACTTGATAATAGGAAAGCATTGGGAGGCTATCACGCACAGTGGCGGATCCAGAGCCTGATCTCGGGAGGGGCATTTGTAGATTATTTAAATAAATAATCCAGACACAATAACTACTACAGCTCAGTGTAGTGGTTATGGTGTCAATAGTGCCGGGACCCCCTCCTAGAGTAAGTAGTCAAACCGTTTA